ACATTTGACAAAACCTGAAGTAGGTCACTTTAGAGCGCAAGGGGTTCCTATGATGAGAAAGTTGAAGGAGTTTCCGGTGACAGAAGATGCTCTTCTTCCTGTTGGTACATCAATTAATGTACGGCATTTCGTTCCTGGACAACACGTGGATATCACTGGGATCACAAAAGGGAAGGGATTTCAGGTGAATTTCTTTATCTTATGGTGTTATATCCTTGCAAAACTTTGATATTGATACTTATATTATGTAAACTATCTTAGATATTTCTCTGTTTGAAAATAAAGAAACTATCCTAAATTCCTTATAAACTAATAGGGTAGGAAAATCACATTTGAATGAGGTGTGCAAGGCAATGCTGCAACTTGAATTTGAGGCATATGCAATTGATTTATCTGTGCTGTACTGAATTCCATGCTGATGATACTAGAACTCTGTTCATCTAGCCTCTCCACCTTGTCATACTTGTCCTTTACCTAAGTTTCTTTCTTTTAATGGCGAATAATTATTGACTGATTGCACTGTTGGCAGATCCAGTGCCCCAGTGGTGTAAATTTTTAAGTACCTTGGATTCTTTATCTACAATGTTCCTAGTTTTCTAATAGGCTCCTACCATGCGCTTGACAAGAGATTTCATCTTTCTCTCCCAGAAATTATACTTGGCCTATTTTTAGTGATGTCTGTTTGTATCTCATCATAAAGATGAATGTTTGAGGGTCATTTGTAGGTAAATTAATGAGATTTGGGCTTAGGTCAGGGTTGTTGAGTACAATGCGCTGCTAATCGAAGAACAAACGAAAAATATCAACCCCGTATTAGGATTAATGAAGCTAAGTGTAGACACTAAGCTTATTAAATGAGATTGATTCACAAAAGAGAGTCTTGATGTTAAGTTTTAAAGAGGAGATATCTCAGTTTCTCACTCATTCTATTTATGCACACAAGCTATTGAAGCTGTTGACATAAGTACACACTTTATATATTAACAAAGCTACTTAGTATTGGCCCTTGGTATACAAATTGAAGTGATTCTCTTACAATTTTTGACACGAAGTTACGAAGAGGAGCCACAGTCAGTTTCTGTTTATCGACATAAGCTAATGAAAGTTCTAAAATAGTAGAAACTAGATACATATATATAAGCTGACTACATTTCGATAACTAAACCCTAGTGACCCCTCTAAAAGTCTGTCGTTGATTTACAAATTGGATGGCTTGGTTGTTTAAAAAACAAATGGACTGTAGAATTCAATCTTTTGTTCAGGCCTGATCTCATGGCTGCCAAAGGGCCAGACACTAGGAGCTTGTGTTAATAATTGCAGCAGCATCAGCCTTCATGGATGTGAGCTTGTTAAGCTCCCTCAGATCAACTTCTTCAATACCTGTCTATTTTTTTGGCAAATGATCTTGTGTTGTAAAACATAGACTCTAATTTCATCTCAAGCAGTTTCTTTTTCAAAAGATTTGTCGAGTAATTATAGCTCATTTCAATGCCTCTGTGTAGTTGACCCTTGTGGTTTTGTATATACAATCTAATTTTCACAAATCTTATAGCCTAATGTACGGATGGAGGAGGAAGATTTTTGTGGATGACTATATGGAATAATCACTTTTGGTTCATGTAGCCGACCCCACTTATGGGATTAAGGCTTTGATTAATTATAGTCTTATGTACATTGTGAGATTCTTACGCGTCCAACTGTCCTCTAATTCATAACCTAGCCTTCAAATGCACCATGTACTATTCCACACCTATATATTCTCAACTAAGCTACTAAAGAAACTAGAATATCATTAATATTTATAATTCACTCAAATTACTTCCTTGGAACCTGGATCGTCATAAAATTGAATATAAGAGATCCTCTGTCTCATTTGTTCTTGTAATTAGATTAAGGAAATGATAATATTATGCTACGGATTGTTATGCTGTTCTCTATTTGAGTTGATATCTTATGGGATTAAATTTATTTTTCTCATCAAAACTATGCTTAATTATAGTTTTGCTTGGTTGTAGTTTTATATGCACATGGACACTGAAACATAGCAAGAATTATGTCAAAGGGCTGACATGTGTTCAGTAGATGCCAAAATAACCCTGTTTGCTGACCAAATTACTTCATGTGTACAGGGTGTAATGAAAAGGCATCATTTTCCGGGGTTGCCTGCATCACATGGTGTGTCAAAGGCCCATCGGAGTGGTGGTTCCACAGGTCAAAGGGATGCTCCTGGAAAAGTAAGTTCATGTGCAAAGTGATGACTGCTTGCTTTTTTATTCTATTGTTTATTTTTACTGAAATTGATATAGAATATCATTTTCTATGATTGCCAATTAGTGTTTATTTTTCCTCTTGTCCATTGCATGTGAAAATGTCACCTCAGAAGTATTTCTTGTAAAGTTCCACCAGTTCCCTTGCAATAGGGAAAATATAGGGAAAATGGGAAGAGGGGGAGGAGTTGTCTTTGGAAGAAAGGGGACCCATCAAATGTATTTTAATTCCTTTCTTCATCTTTTCTATGATCTTTACTGTTTCTTTTTGATATGCATTGTTTAAAAAGTCTAGTTATGAATCATCCAATAGTTTTTTCTCCCCTAATGCATACACATGAATGAAATCCCCTTTGTACATAGTAGTCAGGCTGTATTCTTTTCCATTATTGGTTAGCCAGATGCTCATCCTCATGATATCTTTACATGCCTCTTTTCATGACTTCAGCGTTCTGATACTGGAGCAATTTTGTATGCTTCATTTTATTATCCCCTTTCCTTTAATTATCTTTAATCAAATTTATAGGGGTTTATCTGAGCCTTTTCCAGCTTCATTACGAGTGGTGAAGGGGCAGATGAAGATTTTGATGCAGGAATCATGTTGTTCACTAATCCCCAATTTTTGGGGCTATTATAGCTCAGTCCTTGGGCTGGCAATATCATCTTTTTGGAATCCGTCGCATTTCCAAATGTAGTACTGTGTAATACTAATGTATAATTAGAATTTTCCACTTCCAAATATGCCATTGCTAAAATCAAGTGAGAGGAGGGGGGGGGGGGAGGGGGGAAGGGGATGAAAATTGGTTCAATTTATTATTGACACTGCGTCATATACTCGTGTCCTTAACCATATGTGTGAACTAACATCGGATAGAGGGCGTATATCCAATAGTACCTTGAAGTTTGAACTATTCTTTCTCTCTGGGAAGTAACACCTCTAATGTCTGTCTACAGTATTATGACTGCTGACTGAGATAGTGCCTTTGTTGTTTCAGAATCTGTTGCTTTTTAAGCTGTGCTTCAACATTAGTCATTTCATGGTTGAATATCAAAATTGCTGAACCATCTTTATGTTAATATGTTATGCTTAAGCATTAGTCATTACATGGTTAAATACAGCTTGGAAATTATCTATGCTTTCTTCTGTTCTTCTAAGTTGTGATTGTATGCTTTGTATCCTGGTAGGTTTTCAAAGGCAGAAAGATGGCTGGGCGCATGGGTGGCAAACAGCGGACAGTGAAAAATGTTTGGGTTTATAAAATAGACCCCAAGAGGAACTTAATGTGGGTTAGAGGCCAAGTATGTACCCCTTTTCAACTATCTTCTTTCTCTTTTGACTCTTTTTAAAGAGCCATTTGTTCTGCTTACATCATTAATTCAGACATTCCGAACTCTTAACAAACTTGGACACTTGGAATATCCAGAACTCTCTTTTTCGTTTCTATGAGATGGTTGTTTAACTCGTTGGCTATGTTTCTAGGTCCCTGGTGCTGAAGGAAATTTTGTGTTTGTAAAAGATGCCTTTTATGAGAAACCTGATGTCTCAACGCTTCCTTTCCCGACTTACTTTTCACCAGAAGACGAAGATGAAGATTCATTAGAACCTATAACTGTGGATTTAGGAGAATTAGATCCATTTATGGCAGCTGATTAATTGGCGTGCTAATTCAGAATATCTTTAGAACTCTGGTCTTTCTATGCCTGGGAAATGCCTAGGAGTTTTTTGTTCTTATATATAGGGGGATATGGTCAAGTATGTTTCGAGGTTGGGTTGTGTTTATTTTGATTTGGTGCTGGAGCTAGTGTTCTCCAAAGATTACGGTGTAGCCTCATATTTATTTGGCAGAGCTCGAGACCAGAAATTTGACAAGAGTAAACTATGTTATTGTGTAAACTCTGTTCAAATAAATGGTTGAACTACTGAATGTTGAACATTGTAATTCATCATTTAGAGTTCTAAATACTTTATGTTGCCTTTTCTGGTAAAACACTTGCCTTTTGTATCACTTTGACAAATTTAGTACTGTTTTAAGCCAAAATTGATACCAATAGCACATATTCATATGTGAAACTTTATGTTTGCTACTGTATATAAATCTGATTAGATGTATGCAGTCCAAACTCTCAATTTCTGTGTGTTGTACTGCCAACATGCTACGTCCTACTGTATTATAACCAATCGATATAGGTAGAAGCAAATTTGATCAGTTTTAAGCCTCATTGAAGTGAAACAATTTCTTGAGAGTGATACTGTGAACTGATTCTAGCATAATGCTCAAAATAATGTACAAATACTTATGATAAGAGAGTTATACAGAGTACATAGTTGGACTACATAGTAAGTACTTAGGTATTTTCTAAGCAAGTAAAGCATATTGTATTCTGTACATAAGTAAAAATGATGGTATGAAATTATCAGCATTATCCTTTCTAAAAAACCATGAAAATTACCCTGAACACAAAGCCAAAGGAAATACTTAGGAGTTAGGACAGGAAGTCCAAAAACTTAAAATGAATGATATAGAATTAACCCTTCTTCCACTCCACACCCTTAAACCCTCATCTTCAACCAGCCAATTTCTGAATGCCATGTGGCAATGCAAATATCCAAACTGCATTAGATTACCTCCATGCAAACTTTGTCCATCACATACACCTACAGAGCCTCATCAACAAGATCTCACCCTTTTTTATTTCTTCAAAAACAAAAGAATAATACAATATACAAAAATAGAAATTCCTTAAAAAGACTATAACATCCTCACCCATAAAACTTAATATCCCTCGATATCCCCTCTTTAAACCTCAGTTCGACCTTTTAACAGCTACCACATTTCATCGATGCAAGGGGCAATATTGGAAATTCGATAATAAAAATCACAAAATTTTTCCTACCAATCATCAAAAATTGCATAACTTTCTTTCATTTGTCTTAAATCATCAATCCTTTTATTTTCCATTATCCAAAAGTCTGGTCCAAATTCAATTCTTTTTCCACCAAAAGAAAAAAAAACCCATTTGAAGACATAACATCCTCAATCCAAATAATCAAAAATCTCAAACACCCACTTCAATTTTCTACCATATACATTCCCTCCTTCTCTCTCTTAATTTTTTATAGAGAGAGAAAAAAAAAATCAAAAAATGGCAGTGTGCACAGTATACACAATTCCAACAACAACCCACTTAGGAGGATCATTCAACCAAAACAAACAAGTATTCTTCAACTACAAAAGATCATCATCATTTCCATCATCCAATAACATACTGACAAGTGTGAGCAGACCATATGTGATAACATGCTCAGCAGGTGAGTCACAGACAATTGTGATTGGTCTAGCAGCAGACTCAGGGTGTGGTAAGAGTACTTTCATGAGAAGATTAACAAGTGTGTTTGGAGGAGCAGCAGAACCCCCAAAAGGAGGAAACCCTGATTCCAACACCTTAATAAGTGACACAACTACTGTTATTTGTTTGGATGATTTCCATTCACTTGATAGAACTGGTAGAAAAGAGAAAGGTGTTACTGCTTTAGACCCTAGAGCTAATGACTTTGATCTTATGTATGAACAAGTTAAAGCTTTGAAAGAGGGTAAACCTGTTGATAAGCCTATTTATAATCATGTTAGTGGTTTGTTGGACCCTCCTGAGCTTATTCAACCTCCTAAGATCTTGGTCATTGAAGGGTTACACCCCATGTAAGTATCCATCCTTCTCGCCCTAACTGATTCATGCATTGCACGGGTTTAAATACTAGTTAGCTCATAATTAATTGATATTGTTATGTACAATATTGTTTTTCTAGTTGTACGTGTTACTTACATACAACATGTGACTATTGATGATATAATTTTCTTTTACTAGTGGCTTTTAGCCTTTTACTCATGATTAAGTTTAATTTTACTGATTCTTTCTTGTAAATGAATATTAAATAACCTACTTTTGTAGCTGATTCCATCTTTTTCAAATTAATACATAGTATTATATATTTGGTTTTTATAACTATGCACAAATTTGAGAGAGGGATCATATGAACATTATGGTTGGCTGATGTATCCCCAAATGTTGATAAGGAGATAAAATCCTAAAAACGGTTGGCTGAGGTTAAGCTACTGTCTTTATCAACCAACACTCTTTATTTTTATTTTGATTTTCTTACATTTATTTACTCCGTATTTATTTATTTTAATTTGGAAAAAAAAGTGATATTTTATTTCATAAAAATGTATAAGCATGCGGGTCCATATGTGATTTGAATGGTATGTTTGCAAATTCTTTGTGGTCATCCCGTCAAAAAAAAAATTAAATAAAAAAAATAAAAAAATAAATTTCTTTGTGGTCATATACTAGGAGGAAGATATTGTCATGTATTATGTAAATATTAATAAAATAAAAATTACAAAAATGCGTTTGCCGGGAGTCGAACCCGGGTCTATTGCTTGGAAGGCAATTATCCTAACCGTTGGACTACAAACGCTTATTTTGCTAATAATATTTTGTAAAATTTATATGAAGGTATGATGCACGTGTGAGGGAATTATTGGACTTCAGTATCTACTTGGATATTAGCAATGAAGTTAAATTTGCCTGGAAAATTCAGGTAAAAAAAATAATTAAAAATTTCAATTATATTATGATCTTATAGTCATATGTGAATTATTTTGTACATAGTATTATATCTTGTTTTTACTAATTAATTGATTGTAAATAATGTATCAGAGGGATATGAAAGAGAGAGGACACAGTCTTGAAAGCATCAAAGCTAGTATTGAAGCCAGAAAGCCAGATTTTGATGCTTACATTGGTAATTTACTATACAATTTTCCTCATTTGGCTAATTATTAGTCGCGTAATTACTCTTAGAGTCTATAAAACATTTTTCAAAATTTTATTTTCGCGCCACTAATTGTTTCCAAGCTTGAAAGGATTAAAACTGATGATGTGCTATTATGAGTGCAGATCCACAAAAACAGTATGCTGATGTGGTGATTGAAGTATTACCAACCCAACTCATTCCTGATGATGACGAAGGCAAAGTCTTGAGAGTTAAGATGATTCAAAAGGAAGGAGTCAAGTACTTCAACCCTGTTTACTTGTTTGATGAAGGATCTACTATTTCCTGGATTCCCTGTGGCAGGAAACTAACATGTTCTTACCCTGGCATCAAGTTTTCCTACGGCCCCGACACCTTCTATGACAATGAGGTATCATCCTCTTCAATCTGTATTATACATAGCCTTATTGGTAGTGGTTCGAAATGATGTTTGTGCCATATCATGACATTCTGTATGATTTTGTAGGTGACTGTGGTAGAGATGGATGGGCAGTTTGACAGATTAGACGAACTAATCTATGTCGAGAGTCATTTGAGCAACCTATCAACCAAGTTCTATGGTGAAGTCACCCAACAAATGTTGAAGCACCAAGACTTCCCTGGAAGCAACAATGGAACTGGTTTCTTCCAAACTATCATTGGATTGAAGATCAGAGATCTGTTCGAGCAGATCGTTGCCAACAGGTCTGCAGCTCCAGCAGCAGCTGCTAAGGCCTAAACAGCTTGAGTTTATAGATGATAATATATGAATATGCCACTCTGAATCTCAAATTTTTCCTCCTCTCTTCATTTGTAATTTCCACTACCTATTCTTCTTGTATAAGTTGTTTTTGTAGAGTACTCTGATATTCTGCTGTTAATAGACATCAATTAAAGCAAGATATGAAAAATGCAGTTCAAGAGGATTCAAGCATCAAACATACTTCACACGTTTCTTTTCTTGTCTGTCAATCACATCGTATAGCTTCATCAGAAAAAACTTCTTGTAAATTTCTCTTGATAAAAGTTCTTCATTGCAATTGAAGTATTGAAGGATATAAAAGATTAGGAATAAACTCCTAGGTTGTGTAAATATCTTAATTCAGGTTTCACGCATCAAGAATTTCTGGTCACTAACACTTCACCTTTGATCTATATTATTTAACCAACATAGAAGATGCAAAGAGAAACCAATAAATTTTAATGATTGTCTATGCCTTCAAGAACAAAGACGGGAAGTTGGGAAAAATTAAGAGCAACAAACCAATTTCGGACTTAATAAAGGGATAATAAATATTTCCATACACTAAAGAACTTTAACAAGTTTGAAATTCTACATACCCGTACCTAAAACATTGAACTGCTTAGATAGACATAAGGATTTTATGCCTACTTGGAAAATGATGCAGATACTGTAAAGGAGAAACAGGAAACAGAAGCATCTCCATAGAGAAACTAGGCCATTTACTTGATTGTCACAAATTTATTGGTACCATGCTTAGCCCAATGATCCTTAAGGTCAATCGGAAGAGTGAAGTCATAGCCCTCAGCAGCAAGTCTTTGAAAAAGTTTATCATAAGCCCCATGGCTCATTTTCCTTCCAGCAGTGCGTGAACCAGGCCTTGTGGCACTCATAGGAAGTGGATACTCTGATATGTTAGTTGTGCAACAAGATGATTGCCACCCCCCTGAACCCCATCGGTAGCACTGCCGAGCAGCACCTGTACAAGAGCAAACTGGTGCTGGGATTCCAGAAGCATCTGTAGATGACTCATTGCTGCGGGAATTCAGGCTTTTCCTCTCACGCTTTGCTGCTGAAGAACCACTTTTAGCCTTTGACTTTTTAATTTTCGGTTTACGTTCCTTTGGTGCAGCATCATCAGAGGTTTTCTTTGATGTCTTTGGCTTCTTAGCAGGCTTAGAGGGCTGAGGCTCATCATCCACAACAATATTGGCAGCCTCATTTATAGGCATGCATCGAATGGGCATAGCTGACAATGCTCCTTCCGGGTTGTGTTGAGTTCCTTGGAATGGATTGAATCCATTTCTTGTCGCAGCTAGATAATTTCCCGGGTGAAACCATGAAAAGTGTGGGACAGATCTGCTTCTGTTTCCTTCAGGTATAATGGGGTAGTTTGAGCGAAATGTCCCCATCTTCAATCTATCAAACCACTACTTAACACGAGGAAACAGCTAAATCCGAAACTTGAAGGTATGCTGAAAGCAGAGTTCTACACATCAATCATCGATGTTGCAGGCAGGAAACTATAGCACCTAGCAACAGGGCAAACAAAAAGCAAACAAGGTTCAACCTTCTTTTCAGAAATGAAACACAATTGATCAACTGAACACAGTCAGGAAGCTACACAAAACATCCTACCCATTCTACATAACTTTATCTCAGGAAAACCCTTGAAAGAAGGATTTCAATGGGAAACTAACATCAACTTGGTTGAAACAGTCTAGGATACAGAAACCGATTGCGAGAATATACCTCCAACTACAACTATATTCACCCTTCATAGATAGAACTAACATTTCCAGCAACAATGGACTAACATTCTCTACACACTAGCCTAATTACTCCCTCCGTACCACTAAAATTGCCCCCATATGCTAAAAATGGATGTCAAGATCATAGAATTCCTACAGGAATCAACAACTAATAAAGCCAAGATAATTAAAAAAAGTCAACTAACACCCAAATCCTAAGCAATACAAAGAATCATTCATGTTCATAGCAACAAATAAATATGAAACCTAACTGAACCAATTTGTACTAATTGAAAAGGGGGGAGGTACACATGCAACGAACAATTTTCAAACAACCCTTTAAACTTGCATATACATAATAGAAATCCCACAAAATTAAAACCACAAAAAGCAGCAAATATTAATAAAAAAACTACTAAATCAAAACATATGAAATAACCCAAAATCCACAGAAAATGGAAACAGCAAATTGCCACATTTTAAGCATAAACTCAAAAGAAACAACTCAAAACAAATCAGAAGCTACAAAACCGAGGTACCCAGAAGCTAAAATTTGAATTTTTTTTTTAGGAAAAAAAAAATGAAGGGATTATGAAAGTTACCCAAATCCAGTTATCCAGAAGTTGAAATTGAAGGTTCCAAGCTCAAAAAATGTGAACTTTACAAGCTGATTTCAGCAAAAATGGTAGAAAAGAAGCATAATATGGATGAATTTGTGAAAAAATAGGGAGATGTTAGGCTTCACTCGGGAAATGAACGAATCTAAGAGCAAAAGAGTAAACAATTTAGGGGAAGAAGGGAGACGAGAGGAGAGTAGTGGGTGTTGCTGCTGCCTGACATCTTTTGACGGGTTTATGGACCCACATTCAACAAATTTGTTTTTTCGTTTATTTGGGTGATTTTTTTAAAATTACGTTTTTTATTTTCACTCCTAAATTTAAGTGAGACGGTTTGAATAAACATTTTTAGTCAATGAGTTACCTTTGACTTTGACCTTCCTTAGCAAAAAAAATATTGTTTTTTCATTTCAAAAAATGTACACCGTAACGAAAAATTACTAATACCTACTTTCCTACCTTTTTTATCATCTATGCTCATTGAATTTTGACGAGAGTGAAGCAATTGAAACTCCTAATTTAATTAGTGATAGATTAAGTTGATACTTAAAAATTGAAATCGCGCATTGAGAAATTCAATTAGTGAAAGATCGTAGTATAAAAGATGAAAGAATGGTCATAAATTTGGCACATTCACAAAATAAAATTTGAGGTAAATTTATTTACAAGATTTCAATTGGGAATGACTTTTTAAACCTTCCATTAAATCACCAACAGGAAGAAGAAAAAGGATCGAGAAGGGTAGCAATGTAGTATGTTGTAACTTGATACACTCCATTATGTTATGTAATGTAATCCATCTTACTTTCCAGTATAATACTAAAAGGTCAATTTTTATTCATTTTTAAATGTTAACCTAAATACAGTATTGATTAAGATAAAGTAAATGTGAATAGTAATTTTTCTTTTTCTAGAGTAGCCACTATTTATAGTTTGAATTTTGAAATGTTAAGTTACCAAAAAAAAAAAAAAAAAAAAGGTTGATTGCACTAGTTTTATGGGATACCAAATTACATCTTTCCCTTTGAAGTCAGGACCTTTTGTTTTTACAAGCACTCCGTAATGGTAATCATATCAATTATTGGTTATCCAATAAAATTTGTGCACTAGAAGTACAACATCATGCTATGGCGGCTATGCACTGTGTCTTCATTTGTCGATCCACTCAATCAGTCCCCTTACTATTAAAGAAAATTTAAGTTTATCTCCTAGATAAACATGATCTACGGGTGATAGCAAAATTTTCTTATTTTGGTATTTAGAGAGCCACAAGGACGGATGATGAGAATCGATCCCAAGATCTCTTGGAAGGGAAGCTCTAACCACTTCAGCTATCCCTCCCTCTGATAAATCAGGTAAAGCCATAACCTGATCTCACCTAAAATCAGTTGAACTATCAATCTTACAAAAGGTTACTTGAGTTCCTCATATCTCTCTGATCACATCCAATCAGGTATATGATTGTACAGAACGATGGTCTTACAGCATCAAAGGGCAGCATAGACGGGTTTAAAATAAGTTAACCGACTCGGTATCTGACCACCAATGCATTATTGATGCAAATGAGAGTTACAAGTATATATCAGGCATTCAGCAAATGTTTACATTCTCCCTTCAATTTCGTCGCCTGGTTGTGAAAGAGTCCATCAAAGATAGTCTTTGATAAACATTTGAGGACAACTTAAAATAGACAATGTGCAAAAAATAGGTTGAAACTCTTATTATCTACAAAGAAAAAGAAAATACTTTGCCACAATATGTACAATGCGTCAATGTACATAGGAAGTTTATGTTACTTCGTAATATCTGGAAAAAATTTACAACGAATGAAGCAATAAAAAATCAACCAACCACAGCAAGCAGACTTTGGCGGACAGCAGGAACTGAGCATAGAAGGGAGCCAAAGATTCCAGTGAGTGCATACGCAATTGCACAGAAAGGGAGTGCCTCCGGTTCCTTTGCTGACAAAGCTGCTGTTCCTAACCCATGAGCACTATATTGAACACCAAAAATGTACTTTTAGAATTAGTAAAATGAGCAAAAGCGCAGTGGTGTTAGATCTTCGGATGAGCCATATTGAGAGAATAAAAGCAAAACTGAACCACTGAAATCAATAAATCTTGACCATGTAAAGGCCTTGAACCACATACATTAAGAAGTTTGTTAAGTTCGTTAATATGTATTGGTAAAATAACATTTATTATTGTAATGATATTGCAAATAAGGCTTCAAGTTATTCTGGTATTGTAAAACAACATTTGATAATGCATAAGCTTAGTGTAAGGCTTATAATTTGACCAAAAGAAATTAGCAAGAATGACTAATATATGGAACAAAGGGAGTTTTGTATAAGTTTCTCACCTAGATGCCGTAGCTATTCCTCGAGCTATGGGATCACGGAACTGTAGCTTATCAAGCACAAATTGCACAAAGTTGGCCCCAACAAGACCAGTCAGCACCACCACAGCAGCAGTAAGGGACGAATTTGTACCTAAATAAGCAGAGGTTTATCAAGCTTTCAACTTCCAGCACCAGTTAAAGGAATGCTTGGAACAAAAAAGACTAGTTCCTATTTGTCAAGCTTACAGTACAATGCATAGAGTTTTTACCTTCAAATAAAGAGACAATGCTGAGGGCCAAAGCCACAGTGATACACCGTGGTAAAATCGAGATAGTCAAAGATCGTTCAAGCCCAACAAGACGCCCTACAAGAGCAGTTGAATACAAAGAGAATAGTGTTGCGACAATGATAGAAGTGAAGATCTCTGCTGCATGCCTCTTCACGAGCTGAGAAGTATTAAACACCAGAGGTTACAGGTCAAGAGCTTAATATTAAGACAATAATTTTGGCAGCAATGATAAAAACTGGTGGGAGAGGAATTTATTTCATTACCTTTCTCTGTTTGAACATCGAAAAGGCAAATGAAATGATAACTGATCCCAAGAATCCCATCAAAATGTCACCAGCTCCAGGGTTTGTTGACACCTTGGTTAAATAATATCCTTCACAGACACCACAGTCATAGTGTATTAGCCTTAGCCTAGGAAGAGATAAGCAAAGCCTATCCTGCTTATTTTGCAAAAAGAGCTATCAATTAGATTTCCTTGTACTCTAACAACCTCATGTATGCGAAAGAGGCTTAAGGGGGAAGATGTGATTAAACCAAGAAGACCCTAGATAGAAAAAATTACAAAATAAACACACATTGAGTCACCGTTACAAAGATACACTCCGATTTTTCACCTGGCATGAATAAAGCCAAAGCATTATATTACTATAGACTCTGAGCAAAGTTAGTTGCAAACCTAAAACAGGATCCATTCCAGATTTTGAGATGTACCCAAAGGCAAAGGCTGCCAAATCCGCTGAAAGTGCACAACAGATAATTGGATGAAACAGCATCTTTAGAGCAGAAGGTAACCTAAATGCAAAAGAAAAGAAGGATAAGTTTTTAAAAAATTAACAAGGTTCTAGTCATTTTTCAGAAAGAGAATTCAGAGCTGTGAAAGCAAAAGCATACCCAGAGCCAATCATGTAGCCTAGTACTGTCGCTGAAAGCAAGAATGGAAGGCAGGTGCGAGCAGCAGTTCCCAGTATTGTTGGGTATAGGTATGCGCCAGCAAATGATGCAATGAAAATGCCACTCCAAGCCCACACTTCAGTAGCAGAAAAGGGAGGTGGTTTTGCCATAGGCTCAGCAGGCATCATTTCTGTCTTGACGAGGTTCCTCACAGCTATAGCTGTATATGCAGCAACACAAAGAGAAGCTAGCCACCCACCAGCTACAAGGAACACATGATAGGAATACAGACATTAAATTAGTGCTCTAATAAGGCATGAGAGCCATATGCCTACTTGCTACAGGAAAAATAATTGTGTCCTGTATGTAGTAAAGAAGATATGTCACACAATCCAACTTGAATGAATTATTTAACAATATGGTTAGTAGTGATGGTGTTGGGGATGTTTTCACCAAGTACATTGCACTCAAAAAAACCATTTAACTATTTACGAAAGTCCAATGCCTCTAATTATAGCTGATGACACTTGGTTATTATGTACTGGTTTTAAGTCCATACTGCGGGAACCTATATATTACAGTTGACATGATCTATGTCACATGATCTTCTATATCTTCAGTAGTAATTCTGGTGAGATAAATTATCTTTAACAAAGGAACAAAGACATGTATTGGCAACCCAGTTATACCATATATACGTATATAAGGGTGCAATAAGCGTGAATACCTAGAATGCCAACGATCTTCAATCCAGAAGCCGCGGGTATATCTCTTACAGCAAGAGGCAAAATTACCAGTGAAGGAACATAGAACAATGGAAGCCATCTTTGAATGAACAAAAGGGCTGGCTCAAAAAAGCTCATCAAACCCGCTGCAGCAGCCGGAACTATAGTATCAAGGATTGTTAGAACTGAAAATGTACAAAACATTCCAAATAATGCACTTGGGAATTGAATTGATGCAGCTACAAAAGCCTGCTTCAGCAACTTATCCATCGCCAATATAATCCCCAGTGAAACAACCAAATGCAGTACACCCACCACCTGATTATATCAATGAACACAAAATCACCATCATTTTCTAAGCTAGTAAGCCATTCTAACAACAACCCGCCAAAAACTAACATTCAATCAACATGAAAATTATACAAAATACCTAATTACATCAACAAAACACATAATGGCAATCAAAATTTGGGCTTTTACAATAACCCTCCTCAATTTCAATCAAATCAATACATAAACAATAATATGTATAGCAGATCAATAGTTCTAACTCGTATATACTTGTATACAACAGGTGTATTGTAAACAACACGATATTATGAATACATTGGTAAACAATAATCCACCCAATAGCTAAATTGTCACAATGCAACTATGATATTATGAATACATTGGTAAAAGAAAGTTGATACTCACAGTTTGAAAGATTGAGGAAGTAACACCATCTTTAGAACTAGAACCAAGTGATTTTGCCAAAATTGATCGATTTGAATGAGTTTTATGAGGACCCAGTTGCAAAAATCGATACCCAGAACCAACAAATTTAATGGGTGCCCCTGATTTTTCATTATTTGATTGACATTTAATGGGATTAACACCTACATTAAAGGAAACCTGGGATTTTCCCCTAACAAGTTTTGTGTTCATCATTTTGCGATTAGTCAAAGGGCTAAAAGACAGATTAGTTGTTGCAACTGCCATGGCAGTAGCCATGGTAGTATAGGATGATAGTATTGAGAGAGTTAGTTTGAGGGTAACGAAAATTGTGATTTTGGTGGGGTTTTTGTGGCATATTTTTTGGCTGAAATTCTCAAATTATTTTGGTTTTGTGGGGGCCTTTAAACTGTTTGTATGGATACAAAATGGCCGTTCTTATCAAAGAGCTAAGAAGGGGTAATCTCCCGGAGAAATTTCTGAGTGTGGCTTTGATTAGTTGAATGTGTGAATGATGATCATTCAAGAGGTTATCTCACTTGTTTTTATCTTGGGAATAAAGGGCAAGGGTCCCCTACTCCCCCTTGGTGTCACTCTCGGCAGTAATAAAATGTTGATCGGATATTAATAGTTTCGGATTAAATAAAAGTTGATTAAAACTAAACTTTACTTGTGTGTTGCGTCATTGTGTGACCAACCTGAGGCCAAATCCTAATGATCTAACTTATTATCGTCATACTCACATAGTCACATTAAGCAAGCAAGGTAGTGTTTAGTAAACTTTTTTTTTCTTTAATCGAAGGGTTTGTTCTCTTACGTTGAAATTCAGTTCAGTTCAATTCAGCTCAGTTCAGTTCAGTCAATGAGAACAGACCCTAACTAGTTATTATCAATCTTTACATTATCTTTATCATTTTCTAAAACTTAACAATACTGAATTATCTTAGCTAAACTTATTAGCCTTTATATTATATTTTTTAAACTTATTAGCCTTTATAAAAGGAGCCTTAATTGTACATCCACAAGAGGACATATAAACAAACTTTTGGGATTTGGTTAAGTGGCTTTTCTATATCAATAGAGATTATAATGAACCCTATAAAGAGAATATTATTAGGAATATATAGATTGCCACCCATAAACATATTGCCTATTGGAAAATTATATGAATGATGATTCAATTATTGGTAAATCAAAATTGAGAAATTATAAATAGAAGTATAGAATTGTACCTTATCAATTAAGAATCTTGGAATCATTGTCTTCATTTGTGCTTGACATGCTACTCTATGTAACATCAACCTCAAAAAATTGATAGAAAGGACTGGAGAGTAGTGCATTGCTGAAAAATAATGAAACTCCAACAACTTTGAAATTTTAGTGTGAAAATATACAATTTTTAATTTATTTATAATTATAATTATCTTTGAATTCTACATTTCTGCCTATAGCTTAGACAAAATAGAATTTTAACTAGAAAAGTGGTCATATCCACTTTCTTAGGAATAGATCTTTATGAGAGTGATTTAGAAAAGTATATCAATGCAAAATCTTTGTAATAAAATAATATCTACCATTTTAGGTTTATGGCAAATCCTTTGTAATCAAATACTCGTACGAAGTAGGTATAGCACTTATAGAAAATGTGTTACTCTTATCTTACGGAATATTATATATCTATGAATACATAATGGAAAAAAGCCGGATTTTATATAAAATAAATAATTTAATTGAATGTTACTCTGATAACATACTTCATACGAGTAGAATCGAGTATTACTTTGCAGTCAAAATTTTACGCGGCTATTAGATTAGATAGTCGAGAAAGATTGTTAAGCTAATTTTATTTTGCTCCCAAGCTAATTTTATTCTATTACTATGAAGTCAGCCCATTGGACCACTAGAGATCCAATGGACCTTATGCTAATCCAAGAAGGGCCTTATTGGGTCAGTAAGGCTACTATGTAAGATGTGATTTTAGGCCCATGCAGCAATTCTCGGATCTGCTTTAATTTGGAGCTGTCTCGCCCCAAGTCCCCAGTTCACCATCTCATAATCAATCATAAACATGAACTATAATGTGAGATAGAGAAACTAAATGAGAGACAAAGAGTAGAATATGTTATATGCATATATCGTATATCTGGATATATACATCTGGATACATCGAGATCATTTGCTCATTTAATTAACAAATAAGCAAATATTCATAATATTTTTTACTTATTTATTAATTAAATAAGTAAATGACTCTGGATTGGGATGTACAAAATAGGCTCTCGATCGTTTTACTCGGCAGTATTGATTGTGGGACCATTATTGGAATGTAAGTTTGCAAGTAACAGTACATGCAAGATACTGACAAAACAAGATTCATTTGCATGTGTCTGAACTATGAAGTGTTGTAAGAAAAGCAAGTGACTAAGATGTGACTGGCTGGCCCAATGCATGATGGCCCAGTGTAGGTATGCAAACAATTTTGCTATGTTTTGGGAAGGTTGCCCAACAAATTTAACCCCCAATTTTTAGTCTTGTGACTTGTGAGAAATGTAATCAACAACGTCGGTTGTCTTACACCATTAAGTATTTTTAATTACTTCAATTTTTGCGAATTAAAATAAATTAGACAAATTGTATTTTGACATTATAATGGTTTTGGTAAAACACAATTATATCTTAACAAAGCTTTAATTATCTACTCATTTTATGTTTTTTTTTTTGCTAAGTGCCCTTTTTTTTTCAGCTATGCTCCAACTTAGTCCTACACTACTTTGATAAGGGATTGCGATTTATATAAAAGATTAAAATATAGTCATTTGAATACTTATAAAAATAGTCCTAATAATTTTTTTTTCTAATATCAACTTTTACAAAATGAAATATGCCTATGTTGAAATTTCGCACCTACAAATATGGGGGTTATGAAATACTCCCTCCTTCCCTTAATACAATGCCTCTTTTGATTATTTATTCCTCACATAATAAAGAGAAAGAGGCATTGTATTAAGGGATGGAGGGAATAATACAGAGTATAAATATCATACCAAAATTTTGCATCAGCAATTGTGTCGGTTGGCTTGGTAGGCTTAAAAAAATCAGAGAGAGTACAACTTTTAGCGCAATTTGGTAATCAAATGTTGATTACACTCTGTATATGAACATCATACAAGGCACTGTTTTGTGAAAAATGAGGATCAAATTACACTTGAGCTAAATCAAGCAATATGACACAAAACCAAAAATGATCACAGTATCTTTCATATCATTCTAATTTACATAAATTAAGATCGAAATGCTAGAGTTTGGAACTATTGGAAGGCAGCAAGTTCTTCAAATTTCTCCTTAGTACTTTCCCTGCTACTGATTTCGGTATCGACTTCACAAACACCACTTCCCTCACTTTCTTGTGTGGCGCTACCTGCAACGATGTAACACAATTAGCATCACCTTAATGTTCCCCTATATATATTCGTCAAAATTGATTTTTCAGGTAAGAGTGTAACCATGTCTGGAACGTATTTGACAATGTCGTTCCTAGACAGTAAGCTCCCGGGCTTCTTCACGACAAACGCCACCGGTATCTCCCCAGCTTTGTCATCAGCAACACTGGATCAGGCGCAGATACGTTATAATTCAGATGCTTTGTTTGTTTTTGATAATGTCGTAGATTATAAAAATGACAGTTAAAGTACTTTTAGCTATAGCTAATTTGAATTAAGAGGACTTTTCTTTTCATGATCCAAGAGCACCCCTACTCAACCCCCAATCATATCTAAGGGCATGTTCTCATTGACTGAACTAAATTGAAATAAATACGGAGTATTTTATAAGAGAATGAAATTAAGAGCTGAACTGAACTAAACTGAACTTATTAGAGCTGAGCTGAGCTGAGCTGAACTGAACCGAAAATAATCGTATGAGAACAAGCCATAAGAGACGAACACCTAATGTTACCCTCATTACATCACAAAATCCCCAAAATGCCCTCATATATGGCACCAATATTTTTTATTTAAAAAAAAGTACCCTTTGGAGTAAAATTCTCATTGCCATGTCCTAGAGAGATAGCTTTATCATCACATCATACAAAACTAGAAGAAATAAAATACGCAATGAAAAGTGAGTAGAACAATCAATAGTTGAATACTACTAGTAGTATAAATAAATGTGATAGTGGCCCATATGAATCAAATATGTACTAGTAATAAAGTTTACTTACCTGAATAAAAATCAACAGTAGGGAAAGTGTGCAAGAAATCAGCAAGAATTTTAGTAGTTAAAGGGGCAGCACCACAAGAAACCTGCTTCAAACTGCACAACTGACTAACCCCAAAAACACCACCTAAACTCTTAGCTTTTGCTGTCAATGCTCCCAAAATTGGTGGAACAAGAGGAAAATGTGTCATCACTACTATATTAGTTCCCAAAGAAATCAAACCAACTCCAAATAATGCAAGCCCATATATATGAAACATTGGCATAACAGCCAAATATACATTTTTTTCATGATCCATATTTTCGTTATATTGTGATGCTTCAAATCTTACAAATAACTCCACTGTTGCAATCAGATTTCTGTGTGTAAGCATAACACCTTTGCTTGCACCACTTGTACCGGAAGAATACAGTATTGCTGCTGTATCATCTTGGTTGATTTTAGGGGGTAAAAATGGAGTCTTTTCATGATTTTTACCAAAAATGAGGTTAGAAAACTCAGGAAAATTCTGGGTTTCTTCTCTAATAAGGATATTTGTAGGAACTTGAATGATTTTAAGGCCTAAAGATGATAACTTTTCTGCATTTCCAGGTAGAGTAAAGGCTAATTTTGCATGACTGCTAAGTGTTTGTTTTTTTGCCTCAGAGAAAGAAGACAGAGGATTCATGGGTGTAACAATGGCACCCAGATAAACAATACCCAGAAAAATTATTGGAAAATAAATTGAATTTGGTAAGAAAATTAATACAACATCACCCTTAGAAATCCCCATTTGGTGGAGCCCACATGCCATGGATTTAACAAGAGGAAAAAGTTGAGAATATGGGATTGAATACCCAGATGAAGAATCAGCAAGAACAGAGTTGCTGCTGCCATTTTTATGGTAAGAGAAAATGTGAGAAGCAATGTCAAGAAATGGGGTTTTTGGGAGATTAATTTTGGGGTGTTTACTGCTGTAAATTCCTGTTTCTGGGGAAAACCAAGAACTGTAGTATTGAATTTCTGGGTTTTTGATGGTTTGATGATGAGTGCTGATGGTTTCTGCCATTTTTTTTTTTTTTTTTTCTGTTGTCAGAAAAATAAAAAAACTAAAATTTTGTTGGGAGGATGCAATGTTTGGAATGTGGGATGTTTTGAGTGTTTTTAAAGAGTTGTGAGGCCTAATAAATGCCTTCGCCCCCGCGATTTTAGCCTGACTTGGATCGAATTCGGATTAGTTGAATCAGGTTTAGTCTAATAGGCTCTGATTAATTTTTAATTAACTACTATTAGTGATTACCCTTGAGATATTAAACAAAAAAAAAGTACTCAGTAGCCAAAAATGTTTGTTCAGTTGACATTTATACTCATCACATTTATAATTTGGCAGACTCACGTTAATTGTAATCCTTCTTGAAGAATGTGAGGGGTGCACAATTAGTACCAAGTGGATGTATTGACTATTGACTAAAATGAGTAACAAGGTTGCGAGGGATTCAACCCTGCCTATGTTGCCTTTGAATTCAACGGCAAAATTTATTACTTTTATGACTATTTTTTGAAACATTTTTGTTGGATTTTGGTGTATAGTGAGAAAATGACACGATTTATTTCAATATCAACGAATACATTTAACGAGTTTATATAAAATACGGAGTACTTAGGGCCTGTTCTCATTGATTGAACTCAGCTGAGTTGAACTGAACTGAATACTTTTATAAGAGAAGGAAATTAGGAACGGTTTTGAACTGAACTGAACTGAATTTCAATGTATGAGAACAGGTCCTTAATTATACCTATGCAATTTTTATCGGTGAGAGATAATGATTAATCTTTAATTGTTAATAGATTGTCATACGACATCATTATCTATAGCAATAATTATTTCGCATCTTCAGGTAAAAAATATTTTAAGGGATTAATATGGAATGCTTCATCAAACAATTTACTATTTTGAATCATAAATACTTATCGCTTTTTTTTTAAAAAAAAAAAAAAAAAAAAAAAAAAAAAATCTTGATGTTCTACCATCAAACGAAATTCGATTACTGAAAAATTTAAATCATAGATGTCTAATGTTATACTCCATAATTTAAGAATGAGAATTTTTTGCAAGGTCACCATAATTCATACTCATGTAATTATTTTTATGGTACTAGTAATGCATTAAATTTGTGTAAAATCAGAGTGGAATATAAAGTGTAAATGGGGTGTTGCCAGTCTAGCTTCTCAATATGTTGGAACTCTGGGAAGCACTCCTAATAAATTGATGGGTATGACTGCTATGCCATATTAAACGTGATTCATGTCACTGTATAAATTTATACGTCCAACTTTCAATTGTACAAGTAGTCGCCTCATGGGTGTCTATTCGGATATTTAGGTCGCATTTGGTAATGTCAGTAGGATTTATTTCAATATTGAGTCATGTTAAATTATTGTGTCATATAAGCCAAAATCTTAATCATTTTTTTCGGCCAAATTGAATAGAGTTAGTTGGGATAGTTTTTATTATAAGGTTTGCACGGGTCAAAATTTTTGTGTGTTCGATCACATTCAGGTGATGAATTACAATACAGGACAAAATCCTCACTCAATTTCTGTTTTACTGTATGTCTACGTTGCAAGAATTTCTCATGTTTGACAAGAAAATTTGTCTTACATCAAAATATTGGCAGAAAACAACAATCATTATTATTATTTTTTCTTTTTTTTTTTGTAAATCACATATCATACTAGTATATCCTAACATCACACGTACAATTCCATACTTGATTTGTATAAAAATCAAGGACAAAAACAGTCATAAATAATTAGAAAGATAAATATTGCAATTAATCGGAAACAGTAAGGTGTGCAAACTAACTAGCTAGTGAGTATCAAAGCATAGGTGGTTGGAAACAAGAATGAAATAGTGCACCGCACTTCAAGCATCTAAAAATCTGAAATAAATGGGATTAATTTAGGTTGACGGAAGGTGGAAGCATCATCTCCAAGTCTTGCAAAGAAAAACTAATAAATTAAAGTGCATAATTTAGCTGGCTTTGCGGCATGTGAAGAACTCAATAAGAATGATGATGCCATGATATATATGTTACGTTGTTGACCCTTTAAAAGTCAAAACTATTGCGCAATAAACTTTTCTAACAACATGAATCACTAACCCCAAATTCAAGGATCTAAACCTCACTATTATATAATTTGTTCATTCTTTAAAGTCTTTAGATACTACGAGTAGTAGACTAGTACTTGTGTGATGCTTAGCTAGTTAGCTTGTATATAGTATTCTCCCGTGCAACTCGAGTTTATAGTTGCCTAGCAGATTACTCCTTATTAAGATCATCAACTTACGCTGCAATTATGATATTATGATAGACGAGTCAGTCTAATTAGTATGGAGTATATCACCAACGTACCCCAATTATGATAGTATGAAGACGACTTAGTCTAATATGGAGCAGGGCCATTCCAATCATTACAAAGGCCCTGTGCAATTAAAATATCATTAGTTCTTCCTTTTTATTCGTTGTTTTAAAATGAAAATATTAAAGATAGATAATGTTGGTGTAGGAAATTTACGAGAGAATATGATATATAATGCAAATGTATTGGAATTTTAGATTTCCTTGGAATTGTTTGTAAGTGCCGTTTGGCTATCTTTCATTAATGAAATCATTTTTCTTCTCGTAAAAAAAAAAAAAAAACATCCCACGTCTTATATACCACATCTCTATCCTTAATACTTTAACTAAATATACTTTATCACACAATTACAATATTTAGCAACAATGATAAGTCCATAACCAATGAGCTAACCAATCTTATGAATAATTTTAGCAGACTAAAAAGAATATAATCATTTATAACCAATGTTTAGGCTGCACATGATAAGGGTCAGCCCTAATACGAAGTATGTGTTTAATTAAGTGTCAGTATGAGTTGAAAATTGAGATTATTTAGATCTAATAAGTTAAGTTCAAATGAAGAGAATAATAAAACATAGTCAAAATTGTATTTAAATGACACTAACGTAAATTGGACCCACCATTTAATTCCCTCCTTCCCTTGGTCAATTGGTGGATCTATCTCTCTCCCATCTTCATTTAGAAATTCACACACATGCACAATTGTTTTTGTAAAATAAAAAATTGTCATAATAGTAATCCTACTTCAGCAACATTTATAAATGTATACCATAATGGTATTGCATTATTGATGCATTTAAGTTTCTTGTTTTTAAGGCCTCATGTCAAGATTTTAAATTAATAAGAAACACCTCTATATTTTTATTAATTTATTTATTTATTTATTTGTATTTGAATAATGGAGCAATTTATTGGAAAATGCTTTCCATATCTAACCAACCTCATAATTTATGAGATTTGTCAGATATGAAAAGATATATTTTAACATTTGATAACTCCAATTAGCCACGAAATGTAATTAATTTCTGAGCCCACAAAACAGAAAAATCGTTTGATTGATTTTAAGAGGATTCAAATTATTGAGCTTGTGCTTGAGCTAGTCCCTACCCAATACCCATATACGAAGTATTACATTACAGCAGTTCAAATCATAGAATATATCAAATGTAACGATTAAAAAGTGACGGAAGAAGTCATTAGTTAGATCCACCACATCTTTTCACTCGAAACAAATTTACACCAAATAAAGCCGCATAGGAAATTTGAAACCTTGCTAAATAAGCACTCGTATTAATGGTTGAAGTCATACATAAAGGGTTCAAGCCTTAGTGAATGACCATTACTAAAAAGTATGTACACTGTTGGTAACTAGATCAGAATCTACAAAGCTACGCCGAGTGAGGAAGGCGAAAATACATTAATAAAACCTTAGTTGAAACTAAGAGCTAAAATTGAATTGTCAGTGCTCTCTTGGTTAAGCAGCTTTCTGGGATTAACCCTGATAGTGATACTCGTACTGGGAAGACTGCACCTCATGATGATGGTAATAATTGTAAGAATGAAAATCATGATCGTAACTGTAATATTGAGGCGGTTGTGGAGGAGAGGAAGCAGAGATTTCTTCTACTTGAGTCGGGGGGCTTGAGACGTGTGCTTGGTGCTTGTCAACTCGAACTTCATCAACTTTGACCTCATCAAACTCAACTTCCTCAAAGGTATGGAAGATTGGATGCAAATAGGCATCGGCGAGGTAGGGCTTTAGGGCTTGTTCAGCTCCTTCAGTGTGCTCTTGCTCGTCCTTTTCTGTCGCTTCCTGTACAGACATTTAATTAAAAAAAAATTAAAAAAAAAAATCATTCATGTCGGCATTTTAATCATCAATCAAAGGAACCCACAAAATCAAGCACAGTAAATAATGAGTACACTCTTATGGAGTGGAGTAAATGATAATGGATGCTTAATAATCAAACTAAAACAGGACAATCAACTCAAAAGAGAGTTTTATAGACACCAAGTTATCCCAGTAAATCATAATAAAATGAAGTATTAATTAATCATTTTCGGGAATTGGTCTACATCCTTTATACACATGAATCCATTTTCGAATTTCCTTAGAAAGATGAAGGATTGGCCCTGCTACTCTAACACTGAATAGTAAATCAGTCCGAAAAAGTTATGTAAATTGTCGTCTTTAACTCAATCAAATAACCTTACCTCAAGAGGGTATTTGTTAAATGCGGGCTCAAAACGACTCTTGCAATATCTGTGGAATGCAAAGGTCATTATAGGTAGAATGATAAGAAATGGAGTTGAATTCGCAGCCTTTTTTGTGCTGAGAAGACCCATCAAAAGCAACTGTGATATCAAAAGGCTAGCAATAATGCGGGTGTGAACATGTGGCCAAAATGCACCAGCACTTTCGTATCGTTGATTATACACATTGATTATCTGGACAATGACATAACATTAGATATTATATGTGCAACTAGTCATAACAATTTAATAGATTAGACATGATAAATGATATGTTAAACCCACAACTAATGGACAAAAATAACCATCTGTGAGAATTATATCATAAAAAGAGGGAAGTGTATTTACCTGATGACGGTACACGAGGAAAGCAAAGAGAAAGAACACGATTATAAATGGCAGTAGTATAGGAGTAACCACAGCGTAGACAACACCAAGAAGGAAGTAAAGCTGCAGGGTCGGAAGAGTCTCTGGAATATCGATACTACCAGGATCCATGGCCCTATCTTTATCTCGCTCAGTTTTAACTATAAACATGTTTTTCAAATGGAAAATGACAAGTGGCTTCAATCGGAGAATCTCACTGGCAATGCCAGCCCAACCATCCACCATTATATATGTAATGAAAAAGGTAGCCTTCATTGGTATTGATACGCCAATATTTCTTGGAATCCTGAAGAATGAGACACATATGGTGTGAACAACCTAAGTGTAAATATTTAGCATCAAAATACGAAATGTATATACATCTTTTTTGTCATGTTGCTAGGCATAGATGAAAGTGAGCAGTCAACTCTACAATGACTAATAGAAAATGAATGAACCAAGGGGATTCAGAGAAGGAAAGTATTACTGGCTAGGTGGTTGGTGGATGAAAGCATCAAGTTGCCCGAAAGCTGTTCCAGTCACTATACTTCCCAAAAATACATTCACCAACATGAAATAGTAGTACTTTGCTGCAGCTCTACGCTCTAGTTTAGAGTAAGCCACGTGTCCTTCTATCTTTGACATAAGCATCAAAAGAGCTGGAAGAATGTACAAGAAGATCTTAAGTGCTAGACCAGGAACGAAACCCTGTAGAAAAGACTTTATGATTTTCCTGCATTTGATGAAAATGACTAAGGTTACAAACAAGTAAACAATAAAAACAATTAATATAGTAAGCTCTCAAAGGGGTAGGGAACTAGGGACAGAAAGCATAGATTCATGGAACAAGAATATGAATGACCTTGTCAAAAAATAGATATGCGTAGATACAGAACGAGGTAAGTATATGTCAAGACTTGTTGCTAAAAAAAAAACCTCAATATCATATACTTACATTTCTATGACAGGCTTCAGGAAAGGAACAACTCTTTCCAGAGCTTCAAGATTTGCAAGAGATTGCACAAAAGCAATGGGTATCATGTAGAAAAAAACCAAGGCAAAAACAACTATCCCAATCACAAGTTTACGAATTGTGAGAGAAACAAACGGTATGGCTAGGTTGCGCCAATAAACATCACGAGGTTCAGGAGCCCAGCTAGTCAACCACAATGTAGGATTTTTACTCTGTTCTGTCTGTGCACATACAGCTGCACCCCACCGTGAATTGAAAGAAACAAAAGCAACTGGCAAGACAGACTTTTGATGATCGAGAATTCTCTGACGCTCCATTGTCATCTACAAAATTATTAGAACAAATATGAATATATTTCAAGCATTTCATAGCCATTTAGATCAATTTTAAACATTACAAGGGTCCTATACATATGTCAATAACTGGCACATATATATATTCCAACTTCATACTTGTCAGGACACATTGCGAACGTAAATTTTTAAAAAAACTATCGCCATTCCCATACATGCATTAGAAGAGTTAGGTAAATCACAATGAATGTTGCAATGACTCACTTTTTTCTCTAACTGCTTCAATTTCTCTTTGTAATAGTCAATGTAATCAACTTTTTCTCCCCAAAGACCAAGAAATCCTGTCTGAATGTATAGGCACAATCAACTTTATTAGGTTCAAGGCATAAACATGTGTAATGCAGGCAGCATATCAACTCTTAATTAATATGGCATAATCGCTTTTTACCTTGGTTGTTGGCCTTTTTTCTGGCTTTCTTTCAAACTTAAGCTGGTTGTAATCCAGCCAATTTTTGAGTTTATCCCGTTGCCTCACAAGTTTGGCAAATTTGTTTGCATTGTATACAGCCTAACAACAATGGAAACCGTTAAATAAGAGTGCACTGATAGCATTTTTTCACAAATCAGCAAAAAAAAAAAAGTTAATTTAAATATGTGATACATCAATATGTCATATAGCAAAGAAAAGGTGTGTTACTCATTGAGAAGCATCAAATGAGCAAGGCAATAAGTTCAACCTGGTGGCAGAGGTAGGTATTTCGGTGATTTTTCTTGAAAAAACTATCAACAGAATCTGAGATTGAACGGTCTGAAGCACGTGGCACATTTCTGACTAATACCTGAACGAACACAATAAACCAATTCAATTAGATTGTAACCATAAGACCACTGAATTGAATTATGTTTCTCAACAAGCTTTTTCATAAGCAACGATCAAAAGAACTAATACTAGAACTGCTTGGTATACAGGGTTTGTTCAATTTTTTTTATTTTTTTATTTATTTTTTTTAAAAGAAAAAAGAAAAAAAGATGTAACCCACACAAAGAATATACAACACTGACGAACAAAATAGTAGTACTCATCAAAGAATAAAGGTCCAGACCAAATAGAAGTATAATGCAAAAAACAAAAATCCAAAAATAGAATTAGCAATAAGTGATTTGACTTGCTGCATGCAGGGAGATAAAGTGTCTGCAAAGTTTACAGACTGCTTCAATTCCATAGCAACTACCTACATAAACTCAATTAATAAAAAATAATAAGCCATTTAGGTTGGTAAATTACACAATGAACCTAAAACAAATTAACAAGCAACTTTTCTATCTTTTTCACATGTTAACAATCTAAACTTGTGACATATTGCTCAAGGCCTCAAAATTTCATAAGATTGGCATAATGCGAGATATTGACATCAATTCAATAATACAAAGAATTTTACCGGCATAATGCAAGGTATTGGCATGATTTCATAAATTTTCTCTCTTTCGGAGGAGAAAAATGGTGGGCTAACCAGAATACATAAATAATGAATAATGAAGATATATCACCAGTATACAATAATACTTAAAAATCCAAACTATTGCAGCTTTAGTCAAGAGGAATCTAAAAAAGACACTTAGTGGAAGCAGCACATAGTAATGGGTTACAAAAGATGTGTTTGTCACTAAAATGCTAGCAAAGGATGAGGCAAATAATACCGTATATTGCTCTGCACGCCTTTGCTGGGAAGCCAAAAATTGTAATCTCATGGATGCAACTGTATCATATTCCTTGTAAAGCATGAAGCAAGTCCAAAATGTAAACAGATATTGCATTGCAATATGCACAAAGAACCTGGAATTTACAAAATTACAGCTCGTCATTTCAGTAGATCAGCTCACTTTACTCATTAAAGTATTAAACAATTGCATCAACAGAAGCATATTATCATCTTTTAGTTATAATCATGATTTACAGGTCGTTAGTCCACTAAATTGATTTTGGGCAAGGCTAAGATTCACATCAGGCAACAAATTGACAGTAATGAACACTCACCTATATGATCTAGGAGGCACATTTGATATTGAAAGCTTGTCAATATCACTCGTGACCAATTCTTTCCGCAGAAAAAACAATGTTCCTCCCGATACATTGACTGGTACAAGTACCACAAGTGCTAAAATCATCATAGGCAGAAAAATTTTCAAGCTGCGGAGGAAAGAACAGGAACAATATTAGCTTGATAAACACAATCTTGGTTAATCGTTATAACACAGAATAGTTGGCAGCACCGTGAAAAAAGTCTAATCAAAGGATTTAAAAACTGAGTTGATCATTGTAATATAAATTAATTTACTTGGTTTGACACAAATCATATTTTATTCGGAGACATAACCATTTACTCCCTAGATATTTGAAAAGGTCTAAAACTAACATTACAATCCCAACAAAACCAGAAATTTACACATTATACTCTAAACACCAAATTTCATACTTCCAAAGTTCTCAACAAGTCAACAGTATAAAATGCCAGTCAATCCAAAATTCAGCCATTGTCACTTTTCCAATGCAAAACAAGCAACAAATTGAAGCTATACATACCCAAAAGTCTAAACTAACACTTAAGCCCAAACACCAGGAAAAAATGTCTGAATTAATCTAACTTTTTATTTTGGGTGGATATTTAAGTCACTCTTGGTAAAACAATACAGTAATCAATCTTTATTTCATCAAAAATGTAATCCCTTTCTCAGTAGTCAATTACAATCCCACAAAAATAAAATAAACATTAATAAACAAGTAAAAAAAAAAAAACCGCACCCCACCAAAAATTTAAAAAAAAATACAAAATTTATCAAGCAGAAAATTAGTCGAGTACTAATTGCAAAAACAAAATTCAATCTTGCTACTGGAATTACATTAAAACCCAGAAACAAGCATCAATTATTCAATTTCGGGAAAATTACACACCCATGAATCACTGTAGTCAAATTCCAATTTTTTGAGCAAAATTGAATCACACCCACTACTATAAATCTTAAGTTAAGTCAAAAAAAAAAAAAAATTAAATAATAAATAAAATAAAATAAAATCATAATTAAATAAATAAGTAAAATTGTGCAAAAATAGAGAAATTAAATAGTACCCAAGAGTATAAATCCGGAGAAAAACAGCAGAATCAAGGCCAGCATGTTGAATAAGCGCAGTTTCAGACAATCTGAGAGCCTCAGGCATCCAATTGAGAAAAGTAAAATAAGTTTTGAAATTAAGATTAACAAATTTACCCACAAAATTAGTAGAAGCAGGGTCTTTTCTTTGGCCTTTAAAATACCATTTAGGGAAGTAAACCCTGTCATTTATGGGTTGAATTCTGAGAAGTGCAAATGCAAGCAAGAAAGCAAAAGCAGTGATTATGTTTATGAATGCTGAAACTGAAATGTCTGAAAGTGTAGCCATTGTTGTTTGTATTAAGCTTCAGAACAAGAAGAAGAGATTGAAAAAGAGGAAAGAAAAGTGATAGAGAGATTTGGAGAAAAGGAAAGTGAAAAAAGAAGGCTTCTTTTAATTTTTGGGTGTGTTTTTTTTGGAAGTCGCAGGAATTTGGAAAGATGGAGACAAGCTGTTGAGGGAGTATAACAGATACAGAAGGGAAAGAATATGGTTTTTTTTGTCAATTTTTTATATGATGAGGAGTCATTATTACTCCTTCCATTGACAAAAACACTATTGAAACCCGTGAAGGATTGATAGATAGACCTCGTGTGAGAGGGATGTAGTTACGGACTTATGGAGTATGTCTGAGGGTTTGTTCTCATATATTGAACTCAATTAAATTGAATTGAATTGAACTGAACTGAAAGCTGAATTGAACTGAAATGAAATAAATATTTTATAAGGAAAACGAATTAAGAGCTGAACTGAACTGAACTGAACTGAATTTCAATGTATGAGAACAGACCCTGAGACTAAATAAGTGTGTTATATATTACTCGTATGTGTATTTCGTTGTACTAGTATTACTATATTCGAAGTAAATTTTTTAAAGTTGCAACTAATAATATATGGAGGTTGTATGAAATTGTTGTTTGATTTTGATTAACAAAAAATGTGACTATTTATTCGATAAAGAATTAAAGAGGTAAACTTTTATCTTGGGGTGACCAAGAGATCAAGGGCATAATGAAATTGGTTGTTCATACTAGGTTGCACGGACACTTTTTACGGTTGATTGTGAATCCAATTTCAACCCTAACTAATTCAATTTTGTGTATGGTGGTTATTTTTAACAACCCAAAGATGATCCAAATGGCCACACTCCAGCCCCCAGGTGTCAAATTCCACCCCATTTGACTTCATCAAACCTAATCTGGACACTCAAATTGACACATATATTCCTTGTATCAACGGAGATTAAGAGTAAACTAATGAACTTGACTAAATTTTACTTCGTATATTTTATTCAAAACTTAGTCACTTTCAAAGTATAAATGAGAACTAGCTTGAGACTCAATAATTTGGACCAATTAATTAAACACGGCTCAATTTTGCTAGTATTACTAAATAAGTGTATATACTATATAGGTGAATGCAATTAAAAAAAAAATGTAACATAAAATAACATTTAAGGGGTACTTTTGAAGCTAATTAAAAGGGGGTCTTATTAGTCCTTTGCAAGACGTAATTGGAGGATCCCAATACCATCATAGAAGGAAGACAAAAGAAGCGACAAGATTATGGGCAGAAGAAACAAGAGGGAATATATTATCCAATTTTACATTCCCATCCTTTTTGTAGATGTTTACTGCACTCTTTCTTACCTAGTCCTTGGTGTCTTTCCTGTTCATCACATGCTATGATATTCTACTCCATAGAGCAATTCAAGTTCAGTATAGCCACATAAATAAACAAATGGAATGTGCTCGCAATAAAAAAAAGTTGTCACATTTTCTAAACATCAACTGCTCATTTTCTAAACATTATAATCTTTTGTGGGAGTTCTAATCCATATAGAATAATTAATCACGATCGATCGGATAGTAATTGTAAGTCTTTTTCAATATTACCATCATTTACTATCGGTCTTTTACTTCGACTATTTCTAGGACAAAAATGGGGGATCCAAATTGTCCAAAACGACTATTACTACCATAAAATATTACAAAGAAGGATAAAATAGGAAGAGAAAAAGAAGGACGCGTAATTAAGGGGAAGTACTAAAAGGAAGGGATTCTTTAGGATTCCAATTTCAATTCATAATATTTTTACATTTTGTTTCACAATTTGTTTGTTGTTCTTTTCTTTCACTGTCATAATTGACGTGCACTTGCAAAAAAATTCGGTTAATTGCCCCTCACATGCTATACAGCAATCAGAGACCCTGTTTTACTCATTGTTAATTTCATAATGAACCAATAATTTAATAACATATACCAAGTAGGCAAGTACGGTATAATTATTTGTTCCATTTTTTTTTTCACTTAACTAGGGATTAATGGGAAATGATGAATTAATTTTAGATTGCAAAGAGAGTAACCATTTATCATGTTTCAATTTATTTAATACAGTAATTAATTACCCATTTTTCTGATATTTTTCTGATTGGGGTGTCACAATAGCCTAATATCCCCATTTAAGTACCGATAAAGTGATAATTATTTTGTTTTATTATGTTTATTTTTTTCCGAGACCAAGGGATAGTTAAAGTGGTTAAAGCTTTTCTCTCGAATTCAACTGACTCAAGGATAGATTTTTATCACTCGCTCTTATGACACTCTAAAAAAAAACTATAAAAAAAAATTGCATCTCATAAAATATTTTAAGGAGTATTTGATAAAAATCATAAAAGTGGATCAATATCAACATCTTTGGCCTTCAATATACTTTCAAAAAATTCAATATTTTACTAATGTTTTTCAAAATAAAAACTGAAATTGCTATAGTGGGCAATGAATTAGCGATGTGGTCCACCAACTTTGTCAAGAACATTTTCATTATCATCTTTTTAAAAAAGAAGTCCAAAAGTGCTCCTCATCATCGCCAAAAATGGCGTATATTTGCTAATCTTTTCGAGTGGTTCCACATTTTATCAACAACGATATTTGAAAAAGAAAACAAACTTTTTTGAATAAACATTTGCTTTTTTTTTTTTTTTTTTTTTTTAACGAGAAAAAGGAACCAAACTATATTAAGAGAAAGTTAGGGAGTGTCAAAAATAACAGCAGCTACAATGCTAGGGGGAACCTCTTCGGTCCACACCCTTAAACCATCATACTCTCTACTAATGTTGGCTAGTTTATGAGCCATCCCATTCCCTCTTCTCCCCACAAAAGCAAAATCAAAAGACAAGCATAAATTAGCTAGAAAAAGAATGTCATTCACGATGATTCCGAGCCTCGAGTTGTCACGTTTGCCTTTCTTCAATTTATGATAGAGGTTCAGGTTGTCCACCTCAAGTATCAAATGCGAAGCCTGCCTCCATGACCATTGTAACAGCATGTCTAGCTGCCATTGCCTCAGCAATAATGACGTCAACAGGCCCCTTGAAAGTACAGCAAGTTGCAGCCAATAAATCACCTTCCTAGCCACGCATAAAACCACCACAACCAACCACACCATCATTGAAACAGGCAGCATCTGAGTTAATTTTGACAAAACCAGAAAGCGGGGGAGTCCAAACAGCAGTGCTTGCCTCCGTAGTATTCAGCTCAGAAGGGGAAGGATCATTTGCTTTAGCGTACTCACCCACAATCGATACCGCCTTCAGTTACACCTCTTCAACAAGAGTGCTTTTTTTTTTTCTCAAACAACCAAGCGTTGCGTTTCAGCCATATCCCCCACAAAATACACCAAAAAGAGCCATAGCCTCCCCACACGATGAATCAAAACGGAGCGGGTAAGCACACCACACACATTTAGCATCTGAGCACAGGAAAAGAGCATGCATAATAGTCTCAACATTTTCGCATTCCACAACCTGCCCCAATGTGAAGAACAAGAGTTCATAGAAGAAGGATGATCAGATTTTATAGCATTTAATTCCACATTATACACACTTCTAACAGAAAAAAGGCCATTCTTCAAGTGGTGCCAGGACCAAAAATCAGAAGTGCAGAACCTGCCAAGGAGAATTTTGGTGATTTCCTCAATTTCCCAACTGCTAAAATGAGTGACAAGGGCCTCCATATCCCACGCTTCATTGCTGATAAGCTCGCTGACCACAGCCGGGTGGCTGTCCGGTCTCTGCTGTAAAGGATGAGGCCTAAAGTTAGGCAGAGTCGGAACCCATGGGTCACCCCAAATCTCACTATAGTTCCTGCTAATAAAAGCAAGCCTATGGGCGACACCAATGCCCTTTCTACCAACATGAGCATAATCAATGGAGGTGCATCTATTAGACAGATTGAGAATATCATTGGTTATGCGGCCAAAATCAGAGTTTTATCTTTTCTTACACTTATGAGTGGATCAGCTTCAAACAATCAGACTCAAGGATGATTTTTGTTATACCCGACTAGATAGCAATAGACAAAGCATGTCTAGCAGACATAGCTTCTGCAACATCAGCACGCATCTCACCTTGCACAGTCATGCACGTCCACACAGTCACGAACAACTCCACCCAAACGGCCAAACCTGTAACACCATCACCACAGCAAGAAGCATCCGAGTTTAGCTTGTAGAAGCCTGAAGGGGGAGCATCCCACTTATGGATTGTAACCTGTCTATCCAGCAGCACAGAAGGGAAAAGAGCATTAGCTTTCTCAAATACCCCAACAATGCTGACTGCCCTCTGAATAGTGGCTTCCACAGGCACACTTTTCTAATCAAAGAACCAAGCATTTCTACTAATCCAAATTCCCCAAAGGAGGGCCCAAAAAGTATCCCACAAAATATTATTATCATAGGAACTGTGAAGGGATAAAATCCAAGGCAAAAGAAGACAGTTGATTACCACATTCCGGATTTCCGGCACCAATCGAAGGGGATAAGCATACTAAACTGCATTAGCATGAGGGAAAAGAAAAAGATAGTGAAACAATCCCACGACGTTTAAGATTGCTTCTGACAGGAACACCATTGTGCAAAAATCTCCACCCAAAATGCTTGATATCACACGATCAAACCTTATGATCTTCCTCCTCGTTTGACTCCATTGTTCCAAAAGGCGAAATGAGACTCTCAACATAACATGCTGCACTTGCAAGTAACTTTTTTTCCTTAGGAATGTAAGCATCTCCCTGGGATAGTTCTTGAGTATCCTTATTAAAGCCAATTATCTTATACTGCTGGCTATGACGACGTACCAACAAGAACTTTCCGGTGGGGGTGACAGTATTAATAAACTCGTCTTCAGCAGGAAAAGAAAACGATTTCTCCCAAGAACTCCAATCGTCATGTTTCCTCATCGTCCAAACATCACGCTTTTGACAAGAAGAACAGCAAAGCAATGACAAACA